AACTTAAAATTTTTTTCTTATAAAATAAAATTAAATACTACTATAATATAATCTTTATTTTCAAATATTATCAAAAAGAAATTTATTTAAATATTTTAAAAATTAAAAAATATAGATCATAAGTATATTTATGATAATTTTCTAGACAAATTTGCCTGGAAAAGCTTATAGTTTAAGGGATAAGATTCTATATCAATATTCTAAAAATCAAAATTCTGAAAATACTAAATTCTAATACTAAATTCTTAAAAAATAAAATCCCAAAAGTATAATATCCTAAAAATTTAAATCCTGAAAAAATCCTAAAAAAACATAATTCTGTAAGATCACAATTTTGAAGAATTACAATCCTAAAAGGATCACAATCCTAAATAAAAATCAGAATAGTTTTACTATTTATCTTATATAGAAATAAAATCCTATATACTTCAATTTTAAGTAAAAAATCAAAAAATACTTAAAATTTATTTAACTAATTTTAATGATTTTACTATTATTAGAATCAGAAAGATTAATTCTACAGCTTTATTATTTTATATAATAAAAAAATACTTTTATATATAAGCAAACCAGATTTCTATAAAATAAAAAAACATGAAATTTTAATTTTGTTTAAGATTTGTTATTTTTTACTTCTTCAGAGATGAACTATTCTTAAATATTTTAGATAATAAAAAATAAATCAGCAATATTTTTATAAATAAATACACAATCTAAAGAATTAATCGGTTTTAACGCAACTAATCAGGTTTCCAATTTGGAATTTTAAGAATCTTGTATAAGTTTAATATTTATTAAGATCAAATAATTTTAATTTAATGCGTAATCTAGTAATTAGAAACAAATGTTTTTTATATCCTTCGATTCGTCTTGAATCATTAGATTATTTGATAAACTCATGATGAATTCAATAGTGAGCTCCATCCCGCCATATTACCATTTTTACTTTATAAATAAAAGTCAAAATTTTATTAAATAAATCAATATTAGCATATTAAGTAAATTTATTCAGAAGATCAAAATATATATATTCTAAAAGCTTGATACAAATTAACTTTTTATTAATATATTTAAATATTGAGAACCGGGGTTTAATTTTGGTTCTGAACCAAACCAGGTTTAACTTGGGTTGGAACTTATTATATAAAAACCCGGTTCTTAGGTATTTAATTTGGAACCTAAAAGTTTTAGAACCTAACCCGAACCTAAACCAACCTAAACTAACTTTACCACCCCTAGCTACTGAGAATAGTGATAGCTTTTAATGCGTTTGTCATTCTTATGGTTACTGGTTCTGGTAAAATCACTGCGGCAAGTACGTCTCTGAAAATATCTACCATACGTGGAATGTTTTCGTTATTGTTACCGAGAATGATAGGATGTTGACTAAAAATAATAAATATATTACTTAGATTATATTGATAACTTAATATAAGACATAATAGCAATTATTTGACTTACGCTTCTAGCAAGTCTAGCAAATATGTGTAAGAAAGTGCTGCCTCTTCTTCATCGTGAATGATAGGCAGAGAGGCAAACCACGCTGGAAGCACAGTGTTAACGTCAATTTTACTATTATTAAACTTTAGAATCTTAGTTATGGCAGATATCGCATTCTCAGTCGCGTATATATTTTCTTCTCTTCTGGAACCATCAGAATTTATTACTTGGAATAAATTATTTAGTGCCTCTACAGAAAAAAAAAAAAAAGAATTAGTCTATTGTATATAAAAAAAATAAATTTATACGTTCTTAAATATATATAAAATAAAAACCTGCAACTGCTCCAGAATAATTTTCGCCCCCAAATTGGGCACATACACCAATACCATAAGCAGCAGCCTGCCTAACATCGGAAGCTACGATAAACAAACAAGAATGAGGAAATTATTGTGTGACTATTATGAACCAAAAAGTTGTTGAACTAACCTATATCCATTAATGATGCAATCATTTTTTCTAAGAAATGGGTATGATAAGCCCATGATGCAGGTCCAGTAAATTCAACAACATCATCAATTACACACAAAGCCCATTGACGAGCAGCAGGGTTAGCATCAGCCAAAAACGTAGAGACAATCGGTAACAATTTGTCAAAAGACGGAAGATAAGATGTCCTATGAGTTTTAAGGATAACATGCAAAGCTTTAGAAAGTTCTCCAAGAACACCTTCTTCCGTTGCTTCCTCTTCCATAATTATCTCTTCATCTTCAGCATCATAATCACCACTGGTCCTTGCTTGTTCTCGTTGCTTTATTCTTTGGTAAAATTCTGTCAATTGAGCTTCAGTGGCATTTGTGAAATCTTCTAACTGCGACTCATTAAGACTGTTATCGCCAACTATTTCTAATGATTCGTAAAAAGTAACGTAAAGTTGCCATAAAAAGGTAGGATCAACTTCGTTCTTGATAACTTCGATAATTTTGTTCGCAATCACGTGCCACATATTCAATATATATTCAGGATTAGCATTGGCCTTTTTAACTGCATTAAGGAGATGCGGAATAGTAGCTGATGCAGCATTACGAACGCCATCATGAAAATAAAACTTTAGAAGAGGTAACACAATTTCCAAAACCTTTTCAACATACGGATGGAAGGCAGGACCAAGTTCTCGAGCATAACATATAAGCATCTCAACGGCGGTACATTTTTCTTCCAAAACAGTTGTTTTTATACCAATTTGCTATATAAGTATTAATAAATATTGAATCAATAAGCTATTATAAGAATATCAACACTCACTTGAGTCACAATACTTACCTGACCTTCAACGCCTACAAATTCCCAACCATCTTCAGCTGAATATTTAGATTCAATATCATCATCAGCTATAAAGGGTTAAACCAGAATTATTATCAGATTTATCATACATATAGGCTCGTAAGATAATTTAAATAATTAACTAACGATCTAAAACAGCAAAATCAGGCTTTAAGCTTGCCGATTGCAAAAGAGGGGGCATAACAATAGGAAGGTATGGGACAAAATCTACGCCAAGAACTTTGCATACTCTCGCCCATGAAGCAATAAGGTATGATGTTTGAGGGTCATCTGGTTCTGTGACTGATTCTACATATTAATAATATAAATAAAATTTTTGTTATTATCAAGAATAAGGTAAAATCACCAAATGAAATATACTAAATACTCACGTTGAGTTTGAACCAATAACTCAATGAATTCATTGGCATTTTGCGCAAAAATTTCTTTACCCACAGCCAAAGCTAAATTATGTTGACAATTCAGTTAAACATGTCTTAAATAATAAAATTTGAAGATCATAAAATATGTACCTATAAGACTTGCACATTCCATGGCTTTGCCGCGTAATAATCGATATTCTTTTTGATGAGCATTTCTAAGCACGCTTATTAATAACGGCATAATAGCACTATAATACTATAAAAGTATCGTAATACAATAAATAAATATTATAAGTGAGCAAAATAGAAGCACCATGTAACTCTTACCTTGACAAATCTATCTTCCGCACTATCTGCAACAGTAGCTATAGTTGTGATAGCTTGCTCTTGAACGTAAGTTCTTCCAGAATTTAGAAGAACAAGAAGCCTTTCAAAAATAGGATCCAAATAAGGTTCTAGAATTGATTTGTCTGAAGCTTCGCAAAAGTTGACTAGGGCTGCGGCTGCATGGGCTTGAACTCTACAATGATAATTGAATTAACAAAAGTTAGCATTTGAAATGTATCTCAAAATGGTGTAATGATAAGGCAACCAATTTTTATCATACCTCGGTTCTGGAGTGTCCATTATCGGAATCAAATTTGTAAGTACAGGCTGATGATATTTCCTTTGGAGAGAATCTTGGAAATCAGTCGACATTTGACCGATTGCATTACACGCAGCATATCTTACTCGAGGATGAGGGTCACGTAAATATGGTAAAACCAAACTTGTATAGAGTGTAAAGAGTGTATAGAGTGTATAGAGTAAAATAAAATAAAAATAAATCAAAGAGGTTCTCTTTATAAAGAAATTTTTTTAATATAACAATAATTGCAACTTACTCGATAATTTTACCCAATTCAGCTTCCATGATCTTGACACAACCTTCCCCAATAGCAGATATTGCCATAAGTGCAGCATGACGTTGCTGCCACTTTTCTGAACCCAACATGGAAGGAATATAATTAAAGGCAATGGGAAGTACAGCTTTTCCACCTAAACTCAAAAATCAAAGTTTGCTACGGTAATGCTACAATTAATCTAGAATAGCAAGAATGGATTATAGGCTAATTTACAAAATTAATTACCAATATTGCGAGCTAATCTATCCATGGCGTGTTCCCCCATAACATAGTTTTCATCATTATCGTCATCATCTAACTATGAAGTAAATACAAATATGAATAAAAGGGTATACATAAAGAAACTTATTTGAAGATAACAAAAACCAATAAATAAATGGTATATTAAACAAAAATAATTTACATCATCTGTTGTATACCATCCTTCATCATCTTCCAATTCTGTCATCATTTCCAAGGATATAGGGATAACTTGTAAACAGAAGTCTGGAGTTTTGCGCATCATTGACGGGGAAGCCTCCGATAAAGTTAGTAGAAGTTCAAGAGCAGTTTGACGCGTACCATCTTCAAAAGTTTTATCTTTCATGATATTTATGGCAAAGGGCATAACAATAGGGAGTACTGGCCTAAATATACGCGGTAAATTTTCACCTAATTCAATGAACACCATTATGCCATCAACTAAACCATCTTCATCACGCTGTGCTACAAGCGGAGATAAGACCTTTTGTTTGCATGAAACGTCAAAACACGTTAAATTCCAATAACGTCTTTATTCAATTAGAGTCTGTCTCATAACCACCGATATGTGAATAAAATTAATAACCCCAAATTTACTAATGTTTTAATCACTATGATGTTACAGTAATTTATATCTTTAAAAATTGTTAAATTTGAGTTATTAATTAAAGGTTCAAACCCATAAATGGGTATGTTACAGACTTTTTTTCAGTTAGTATTATTTTTTTCATACCTCAAGCATCTGTGGCATCAGTTCAGCAAAAGAAGTACGATTTGGTTGATCTGTTTCCAGCATGAATGCTACGGCAGCTTTAAGGGAAGTCATACGAATCTAGGGTTTAATGTAATGATTTCAGTGACTCGATCCGAATGTTTGAACATAATAAATAGAGGAAAAAAAATTTTAAAATAATAAAATAATAATAAAAAAAAATATAGTTCATTGTTACGTACTGTTGCATTGTTAGCGTCCCGTAAATTTGCAGAAAAAACTTGCTTTACAATATCAATAGGTTGATCAGTGATTAGATTAGGTAGAGCCGAAAATATGCGTAAAGCAGCTTCACGATGTTCTGCAGAAGGAGATTTGCTGGCTTCAAATAGAGCAGGTAGTAGTTCGTCCCACTTTTCTACATGAGAAAAAGTAGAAGAGTTTGAAATAACGATCTATAAACCAAAAGATAAAACGACAATTATAAAATCAAATACTTACGTCCTGTAAAAAGGAAATTTTTGGTAACTTCTGAAATGGCATCACACACTTTATGACGTACAGTATTCTCTCTCTCGACTGAAAGCGACATTAAAAGTTCATTTTTGATTGCTAGTCTACTTTCTTCTTGAAGGCGAGCCCATATTGTAGCATCTTGACCTGGAACTGTTTTAAATGCAATTCTTCGAAACAACACAAAAGCAAAAGAGCGGTCCTACATCGCCGATAATAATAAACCGTAAAGAAACGCGTGTGATAATTCGATCTTAGCCTTTCTGTCATCCATTTTTTTTTATAAATACATGAAAACTTGTTAAATGATCCTCACGTGTATTCCTTCGTGAGATCTTCCAAGCTGTATTAAAGAAAGAAGTAATAAGTCCGGTTGTTGCGCGATCCAATGGTCATTCAATTGTTTTTCAGCGTTTGAACGAAGATCATTATCATTAGAAGTCAAGTGTGATAGTAATTGGTTCAGCTGAGAAGCAATATCGGGAGAAACTAGCGAGGACGTAGTCGTCGTCATTTCCGAAAAAAAAAAAAGTCTAAAAAAGAATAAAAGATTAGAATGACCATAAAAAAAGGTATCAAATAAGCACGTGTGTAGACAGGATCACAAGATTTACGCATTGTGTAATACGTCATCCGACCAAGGTTAAATATCAATATGAGTCAATTTATCATATCTAACGAATTAACGTTAAGTACGTTATAATTGATTAATTACCTGGGGAACATGCAAACTGCAAGATTACATGCGTTGCATAGTAATAGGACGAGAAGTAATACGTCATCGTTATGACCCAAAGACAAGGTTGATGCTCAGAAAAAAAAAATTAAATTATCGGCCCTACGCAGAAGGTGGTTTAGTACGTAGCAAAATTTTTTGAGCTACTACTGGACCATGGATTTTTATGCAATGTTCTATTAATCCAACCCTAATCCTACTTTGCATTGCAGCGGTAGCTTATTTACTGATTAGTTTACTGATTAGTTTGCGAATCACGAATTAAATATTTTAACAAATTGAAAATGAAGGTTGTTAACAATAATTCTCCGAAATTTATAATATGTACTTATATATAATTATTATATAGCTAAATTAGAATATATTTTTGTAATGTAATTAATGTAATTAAACATTATATAGAATAATTAATTCATATAAAAAAATACAATATAATCATATATACAGAGTTATGCATAGTACATAAAAAAAACGGTAAATGCAAATAGATAAATATGTAAAGCTACATCACCAAAATATCAAAGAAACCTCCAGACATAAGGTTCATTCTTCTAACAACAATAACTTAATCTTTGGACCATTTAAATGATTTTTATTAAAAGTATTAACGGATTC